AAAACTCTGCAGCGGAGCGCACGTCGACAGCGGAATCAGAACGCTGTAAGAGTGTGGCGATCGAACTATATCAATTTTATTCTAGAGCACAACAAAATTACCCATAGTAGCACGACGGAGTTTGGGACTCCTGGTCGTGGCTGTTCTCCCCCCACGACTAGCAAGCACTGCCGTACGAGCAGGCCGTTACGATCGCAAACTCGTGGTTGAGTCCCGGCTATTGGGCCAAGCCGACAGCGTCACGTCATTCCGACCGCCTCTGATTCCCATTCAAAATCTGCGCCAGCTCGGCTAGGAATCGCGCCCTTCGTTTTTGCCACGTGTTTCGCAGTTATTTAACATCAATTCCATTTAAATGTTCAATTTTTGTGACTCTGATATTAAACTACACCTGAACAAGTATCAAAGTTTAAAAAAGGGCAATAAACAACATTTAAAGTCGCCATACTCTCACGTGAAATTTTAAACAGGAAAGAATTCTTATCTGAGATTAAGATTGGATATCAGACAGTTTATATGATGGAAACATTAATAAACAAAATATTTACATGGTCAAGAAACTGGAAAAGATTTATAAAACAAAACAAAAAAAAAACAATCTGGTGTGAATTAAAACATGCAGATAAAAATATTACGTGAAGTTAGGATTAGGAACGGCAGAGCATGAAAATTTACGTTTAATTTAAATTATACAGAAAAGAAAATTACTGAAGTTAAAATGGTGAGATAGAAAAAAAATTATATGAGATGAAAAAGTGGAAAGCTAACAAAATTACATGAGGTAAATATTTTATGTCCATTCGAGTTATTGGTTAATTTTTAAAAGTTCTCCAATTTTTCGATTTGGAAATTTTTCAATTTTTTTTTTGTTTCTTCCACTCTTAAACTTTGCAATTTTTCGATTTAAAATTTCTCGAGTTTACAGTTTTTAATTTTAAAATTGAAAAAATCGAAATTGAAAAAACAAAACTATAAAATCCAAACATCCAAAACTCGGAAAATTGTAAGAATAAAGAAAATGAAAAACCGAAACGAAAAATTGCAGACCAAAAATCTGAGACGAAAAATTAAAGAATCGACGTTTTGAAAAATCAAAGATCGAAAGTTTGAAGAATTAGACAAAAGAAAAACGAAAAATTGCTGTATAAAATCGAGAAAATGAAAATTAAAAAATGGGGCAAATGAAAAATAAAAATCAAAAATTGTAGTACAGAAAAATTGCAAAATTGAAAAACTGCATATCGAACAACTGAAGAAACGAAAAACTGAAAAATTCGGAAGTGAAGGAACTGAAAATTGAAAAAATTAAAGTTGCAAAAACAAAAAATTATGAAACCGAAATATTAAAAAATGGAAAAATTGTGATATCAAAAAATTCTAAAAAAATTTTTCGATTTTTCGACTTCTTGATTTTTTCATGTTTCGATTTCGCGATTTTTAAATTTTTCGATGTCGATTTCGATTTCTGGATTTCTCAGTATTTCAACAATAATTCATCTTTTCGATTTTTGGCTCTATAAATTTTTGGGTTTTTCGATTTCGTAGTTTCTCGGTTAACCAATTTTTGAATTTTTCATTTTTCACCTTTCCGATGTCTCGATTTCTCAATTTTTCAAATAGTCAAATTTTCAATGTTTAAGTTTGAAGATTTTTCAATTTGGGATTTTTCAATAATTTATTTATTCGATTTTTCAAAATTTTGCGACTTCCTATATCTTACATTTTTCGATTTTTGGATTTTGGATTTTTCGATTTGTTGATGTTTTGATTGCTCGATTTTTTTAATTTTCAATTTTACGAATTCTTAAATTTTAGATTTTTCACTTTTTTTTGTTGTTTCGATTGCCCAATCTTTCGATTTTTTGATTTTTCGTTTTTCGATTTTTCAAATTTTGATTTATCGGATTTTTTAAGTTTAAATTTTCAATTTTTCGATTTCCATTTCTCGATTTCTCAGTTTTTCGATTATCGGGTCTCCAATTTTCTAAAATTTAGTTTTTTCAATTTCGATTTTCTTAATTTTTCGATTTGTTGGCCATCGTTTACATTCCTCAAACAAACACAAAAAAACATAGCAGACAATCTGGGGGTTCAAAATAGCGTCGGACGAATGCGTCGTTAAAAAAAATGGTTCAAAAATATGTCACCCTGAAATGTGTTCAATCCTGTGGCGCTGTGCAAATAATGGTCTAAATCAAAGGAATAAAATGCACGTCCCACATGACCCAAAATGTTGTTAACTTCTTCAACGAGATTTTACAGTTCAAACATGTGCTCGGTTTGAAAATACTCTTTCAACATGGCCGCTGTCAGAACAAAGAATTTATCTGATGCTAAATTATGCCACACTTTATCAACGATTAAAACAAAGAATTTACATTATGTTAAATTATACCACACTTTATCAAGATTTGAACAAGGAATTTACATTATGTTAATTGATGCCTTAATCCAAGTGATTGATTACTTAAAACGATTAGCTTTGAGATTTTAGATCGTGAACTGTCTCCAGCTTATCCCAAACGAAACACATGAAAAATAAACAACACAAAATGTATCCAGCGTTGCGAGGTGATATAATTTTCGACGTTGTGAGAAAAATGTCTCGGTGATGTGATGAAGATAATCATGATAATTGTCTAAAGGGAAACATTTTTAATCCCCCTGTACCTCAGCGACGATATTATGAATTCTACTGGTCTTTACGGTCTTTTCCCAGAGTGGGGCAACGTTAAATTTATTTAACTGCCGTAAATCAACTATTAGCAATCTTGTGTGAGTAATTAAGAAGTCTTATAATATAACACTTGAGTATAAGCATCCAGAAACTTTATTCATAATTTGGTAAATAAAGGATAAGTCGTGACTAAGTGAATTTCATGAAATTTCCTAGTAAGTGCTGTATCTAAATAATCTCAGGACCGTTAAATTCTGTCAGACGTAGGTAACGATTAAAATCCGAACATGAACTGTGAATTTACAACCAATAAAACAAATTTACACCACGTGTTAGCGTCGGTCGAAAATTCGCATATTTCCGCTTTAAAAAACTTCAAAAATTAGTTAGTACACTTGTTGGAAAAAACTATGGCATCGCAATGGGTACCCTTATTTGTCGTTAAACAAAGGCTTCCGTCCTCTTTTTTTATTAACTATCAAACCAACTAAAATTAACCTACCTAACTCACCGAGTGTTTTCAGCATGCTTTCACTCAGTAAACCAAAACAACAGTGACGTGTCACCATCCTCTACAAAGCAAGCACCTCTCTTACTAGATACTACCAAGAAAATCCCTAGGAGAGCTATCAAGTGCCCAAAAAGAACTAAACGTGCACATGGTTGCCTATGTTTAACGATTTTCTTGATTTTTGTCAGCGCGAAATTTTAATTCAAGTGTGGTCACCACAGTGTCCTACGCCAGGTATATGACAGGTGATAGTATCATCAAGGCCAGCTACGATTTTCTGATTTTCAGTATTTTTATTTGGCAATTTATTTTTCAGATGATTTCGACTCTTTACAAAGATTTGTCGGTATTTTAGCATTATTGTGACACGTATCAACCAGAAAAGTTACTTTACTTCCAGTAAATCTCTTACCTTTGTGGTTAATCTAGAGCGAATTAATTTACAGTCTGTGTATTCCTTTGCGTATTAAAATTAATAACATTTTGGTGAAGCGCTTTTGTGAGGGTCTGAATTCTGTAAGAAACACGTATTTTTTCACTAATAAAGTAAAAAATCTCTAAAAACATTAACACATTTGTTCGAGTATAGAACTTCAATTGCTACAGTTTCAATTCTTTGTTATTAGACCCTGCTATTTTAATTTTTTAATAACATTGGAAGCCGGAGTTGTATGTTTTCACGAACAACGCTCCCACTAGAAAGAATTGCTTCCATAGGATTTTTTTTCGGCGACCAACATAATTTGTAACCGAGTCATCCTTGGAACAAAATCTTTGATGCCTTCTTAATGACTGTAGAAACTCGAAATTTTTACGTCGAAATTTCTCTGCAAGTAGAACCTGTCACTTTCCGAGACTCCGCCTGGCACTCCCAGCAACAATATAATTCTTTTCCGACTTTCTTACTACATCTACCTATGAATGCCGCCACGTCAGATTCCGAACTTGAACCACCATATTAAAAAGTGTCTATTGTTCGTCTGACACGCATGTACAAAGCAAAGGATTTGTCTTGTTCCCTTCTAAAAGTTCTTTCTTGTGAGCAACGTCAGTCCTTTTGTGCATGTGTGCGTGTTTAGTTAAAATAATGATATATGACCTGGCGGAGAAGACGTATTTCGCTCTCCATTTTCGTATTTCAGAAATAAGACGAAAGCAGTGTCAAGGTCGCAGCAGTGCTCATCTGTCTGGATTGATAGATGTGGATGTAGATGCTGAGGTTATTTTAAGCCTGCGCCAGATGTATTAGAGATAGAAATATGCATATTGTGTTACATCTAAGTGCATTTATGCACTCGAGTGTTACGTATGCTGATAAGGTAAAACTCGCTACGGACTAAATAATGTGCTGAAGTAAAGGGGGAGTGGTTTAATGAGCAAGTTTCTGCATTAATAACGCCAGAGGTAAGAAAGTTTACCTCAAGTGCTCTGTCAAGTTTTACTGTTGAGTACATTTAAATGCGGGCAACGTACTGTGCCTGGAAAGCTGGGTTAGTAGGAAATTGAAATGGAAAAATAAAGAAGGCAAAGGAAAGACATGAATCCGTGAATGTTCACCAGACTGAAAAAATCGCCAAGCAAGAAAAGAATGAAATAAATCTTTTAAGCTATGTTAAATGGACTTGCTTTGTTGACATGAATGTAAATTGTTGTGTGGTGGATTGCAATTCTTTTATTTCTTTGTAAGTCGGACGCAACGGAAGCGTTTAAATTGCTTCGAATTGGAACTTTTAAAAGTATATTGACACAGCGCTATTTTAAGATTTTACTTAGCAACCTTTCTTATCTCGGATCGTTCAACGTTTGTTCTAGGTCCTAACCAAAGACAGCGTAACTGTTTCCGTCGATGCTGTGGTCTACTATCGCGTCTCCAACGCCACTGTTTCCATTGCCAACGTGGAAAATGCCCATCATTCGACTCGACTTCTCGCTCAAACCACCCTTCGCAACATTATGGGTCAACGTCCTCTCCATGAGATTTTGAGTGAACGCGAAAGTATTTCCCAGCACATGAAGGCCCTCCTAGACGAAGCGACTGATTCCTGGGGGATCAACGTGGAACGAGTTGAAATGTGAGTCTGCTAACACACATTATTTTCCTTTTTTTGTCAAATTAATTCTTAAATTCAGTTTTGTTTTAACCTGTTTTGAGCTATCAGTTGATACTAACGACTAAGTACCATGCTCATTTATTTTTGCTTTGTGTACTCCTAATTTCGCTACCGTGACTTTACCGTCTCGTCGTGTCAGTCATTTGGATAGGTCCCAGAGGTGTGAAGCTGTCCCTGTGATTTATCCTTATAAATTTAAATTGCTCAGCTCCTAATTTCTATTGCTATGTCTAGTTAGAGCAGGTGTGGAACTCCAATGAAATTATTAAAACAAATGCCCCAGTGATACAATCTGATGCCTGTCAATGGCCTATTCACTTTCATTGCGTGAGCGGTAGGTTACCGGAACAGGATATCAAGATTACGCGTTCCAAATGTAAATACATCAAATTAGTAGGCGGCTGCTATAAACATAATAGGTTATCATCTTTCCGAGATCTCAAGATGTTATTCGGTGATTTTCGCGCTGAATTGTCGTCAATAGGTAATTTCAAACGTGAATTGGAGGAGGAGATGAACACCATAAATCAACATCCTGCAGGGACACCAAACACAAGGGTGAAATTTTGTCCTGGTATTGTTCATAATTTGTATCAGTGATTTTTGACTATAATTTTATATATTTGAAAAACAAAACATATAGTTTTAGTTTTCGAAAATAGCGCGATTTTACTAATAATATTCACTATTTGAATTAATTATTCATTACGTAAGTCCTGACTAGAATCTTGTGCTTTAATTTCGTTTTCATTGGACAAAGAAAATTCTTAAAATTATTTTCGCATTTAATTGATGGTGCATAAGTTTGCTAAAATTCTTAAAACAATTTTTTTTACATATGTTATTTTTAAAATTAATATTTCAATTAATTTCAGTGTTGCATGTATTTTGAGGGCAAAAACTCATTATTGCTTTCGTACAAAGAGTCAGTTTATGCCATGGGAGTTGGCGCCTTCTATGGGGACGGTTGCTCTGGCGCCAGCTCCTTTTCTGGAGAGGAAGCACCTAGGGTACTCCAGTCGAACAAACGGATCTCCAGGCAGCCGTGACAGAAATAATCTTCCGGTTAAAATTCCTGCCATCAGCTACAAATCTAAATATTAATAATTCTACACAAAAGAACGAATAATAAAAAGAAACGGAAACCTTGACGCGACGCGTTTATCACGAAATAACTCCTCCCTCTGGTATCTGTCTTATCGCGGTTTTGGGGCCGCCAAAATTTGTTCGTTAGAACATTGTATAAACCACAATGAAATACAAAATCAATTTCAATTCAGTTATACAAAATTTTTCTAAAGCTTCCCCAATATACCAGGTGTCTGGAAAATGGCGGATTAACTCTTCAGTACGTTATGTACGAGGGTTTCGGAAGTCCTAAATACAATAATAAAAAATTCCTTATGAATTAGATTACGAGAAAAACGTCCTTTTACACGCACCTAATGCCACCTTTTATATTTTTTAGGAGAATAACCGTAACAACCAATAGTCATTAATCGTTGTGCAGTATTATTAATAAAACAAGCCGTTATTTTTCATTAATAAATAAACTACAAAAAAACATTTAATAAGTTATTTATAAATTATAAACAAAAACAAAACCAACAAAAGAAAAATCTATTAAAGCATAACCAACTAAACACTAGAGAAGATGTTCAAAATTGCTGCCTTGTGCATATAAGTAAACTCGTAATGTTTCCAAATTTTGATTATTTTTTGTAGTTGCTAAGAAAAAACTGATTTTGGCAATCACATCCCTCAAAGAAAATAGAGGGCGGGTGGGCGGGGCTATTACCTGCTAAGATAAAAGTGATTTTGGCAAAGAGGTACCCTTTAAGAAAAGAGAGGGAGGGTGGGCGGGGCTAACACCTGCTAAGATAAGACTGATTTTAGCAAATGACGTATCCTCTAAGAAATTTAGTACCTAGAACCTCACACGGCTAGCTTGAAACATTTTTAACGCAAAAGTGCTTGCACCTCTGATTTTTTTGCGCAGTATAGTCTCGTTAAGTTGTGTAAACATTTTAGACCCAAAAAGAAAAATATCGTTAGGACCGTTTTTGAAATATTTCCAAAATATTGTTTTTTTGTATCAAAGGTCCAATTTTGAGCGTAAATATGTGAATTCGAATGTGATTTAAACGTGTAAATAAAACACAAATTTAAACATGAAGGCTATTGTATTCGCAAAGGGCACGTAACTATTTTGTAGGATAATTGGAGTTATTTGACATTTTCAATCATTTTTCGATTATTTAATTTTTGCCAATTTTAGTCTTATCTTAGCAGGTAGTAGCCCCGCCCACCCACCCTCTCTTTTTTTAGAGGATATGTCATCTGCCAAAATCAGTCTTATCGGGGCAGCTACTAGCCTTCCAAGTAAATAACGGGTGGGTGGGTGGGGCCAATACTTGTCAAGGTAAGACTGATTTTACCAAGTGATATACCTTCTACCATTCATTTTCTTAGAGGGTATATCATTGGCAAAATCAGTATTATCTTAGCAGGTACTAGCCCTCTAAGAAAATAAAGGGTGGGTGGGCGGGGCTAGTTTTGCCAAGATAAGGCTAAAATTGCCAAATAACATACCCTCTAAGAAAATAAAGGGTGGGCAGGTGGGGTCAACACTTGCCAAAATAAGACTAATTTTGCCAATTAATATACCCACTACCTTTCGTTTTCTTAGAGGGTAGGTCATTTGCCAATATCAGTCTTATATTAGCAGGTACTAACCCCGCCCACCCACCCTCTCTTTTCTTAGAAGATATGTCATCTGCCAAAATCAGTCTTATCTTGGCAGCTACTAGCCTTCCAAGTAAATGGCGGGTGGGTGGTTGGGGCCAATACTTTTCAAGATAAGACTGATTTTACCAATAATATACCCGCTACCCTTCATTTTCTTAGAGGGTAGGTCATTTGCCAATATCAGTCTTATCTTAGAGTCTGGTCAGGTGCATGAAATAAAAAATAAATTTTATAGCAAATAGTATAATAAAAAAAAATATGATTAGCTATCTTTTTTTATTATACTACTAATTTTTTCACATCCTAGAGTCCATTAGTTTCCACTCCCACTCGACAAAAGAACATAATTAGCCCCGCCCACTCACCCTGCCTCCTTTTCAGAGATTGATTTTATCCGATGTGAATCAAATGAATGGTCTTAAACTGAACAGAAATAAAATTAGTCGTTAGAGTAAAAAGAGGGTGGGTGGGCGGGGCTAGTATTTGCTAAGATGCGACTGATTTTGGCAAATGAGATATCTTGTAAGAAAGTAGTGGGCGGGAGGGCGGGGCTCGTATTTGAAAAGATGAGACATATTTTGGCACTTTTGACATTTTCAATCATTTTTCGATTATTTTCGTAAATTATCAAGAGCTGGTCAGGTGCATGAAATAAAAAATAAATTTTATAGCAAAAGGTATAATAAAAAAAAATATGATCATGTCTTTTTTTTAATTTCTTTACATCCTAGAGTCTATTAATCTCCACTCCCACTCGACAGAAGAACACAGTAAACAAACTTTTTTTCTATTTTTTTGATGGTCTGTTTGAAACATTTTTCTGTGTGCGCCAATGACACTAAACTGTTACAAGATTTGACATATTTTTGACACACAACAAAACGATTGAAAGCCCAGCCAACTTAACTAAACAGATCTGATTCAATGGAATTCACTAAAATATGTTTTTTTAAAAAACGGCTGTAGCGATTTTTTTCATTTTTTGTTTAAAAGGTTCACAAAACTTAAAGAAACTAAGCTACGCAAAAAAATTAGAAGTGCAAGCGCTTTTCAATTAAAAGTATTTCAAGCTAACCGTGCTCAAGATTGTTTTAAAATTACCGAACAAAGAAAAAACAGGCTCCCAAAATTAACTGAAAAACGGGTCAGTTCCCTAAAATTGTTTTAAATAATTTACAAAATATTTCCATGGGATCCCAAAATAATACATCATGGGTATCTGAGAGTCTTCCGAATTAAAATGAAACACTGCCGCACTCAAGACTTTTCCAAATTCATAAAAAATAAAACACTAAAAGCTCAACAATTTTTTCAAATTCATCCAGCAATAAAACACCAGATTCCTTTAAATTTATCCGAAAATAAAACACCAGGTAACCTAAAATTAACTGCGAACATTTTAAACATAGAGTTTTGAAAACTTTGACAATTTTTGGTACGTCAAACACTTTTAACTCGATTTTTGCCGATTTTTACCTTCGCTTTGTGGACCAATAAAATTTTATCAAATTATTACAAAAACTACACAACAATATTTTTGTACATTCTAACTGAGATGGTAATTACTAATTAAACATATTCATGGGTTAGAGAAATATGTATTATCTAAAAGTTTTATTACTAGTTATTGTGATGATGAATGTATTCTTTAGTTGTTAAACGTAGCAAAAGAACAAATTTTAAAATCATTATAACTCCACTAAAATGTGAGAAGGATTTTTACTATTTTTCCCAGACACCCGGTATTTCCGAAGAAACTATGCAGATCCATTATTGTCTCGATATTTAAACATAATTTAACAATGTAAACACAAATTCAAACCGAGTTAAACAGCCCTTTTTGAATCGATTTGTCTACCTTTAATTTTTTCGCAGATTTGAAAAAATTAAAATTTGGAAAAAATGGTGGAGGCGCCGGGATATTAAATAAAATAAAAAATTATTTGGTACTGTAAATAGTATTTGCAAGAATATGCTTAATACACCAGGAAATTAAGTAGTTTTTGTTCTTACCCTTTGAAAATAATTACTATTATTATTATTTGTATGCGTATATGTGCGAGGTCAATTAACACGATAATTGGGTATTGTAACGAAAATAAATTCATAAAGATATATTTACGGAAAAATCTAAAGAGTGAAGCATATGAAACTGGAATAGTACAGGCTTGTGAAAAATTGTTAAGGAAACAAATGGAATAAAGCGAGTACGTATGTAAGGTTACCAACTCTGAGCAGAGATAACGATAACCAATAAAACATTGACTGTGGCCAATTTAACAATGTTTTGAAAACCCAAAGAACGCCAGTCTCAGAGCGGATTGGGCAAAGTGAAGATGTGGAAGTAGAAGAGATGTTCAAGAAAATACACTGCCCCGCAAAATTAACGCAAAATTTTATTTTTTTTTTAGATAATCTTGTTCTTTTTTCCAATTTGGTCCCTAATTCGTAATTATTAAATCAAATATAGAAATTTTAAAAAATCGACAAAAAACAACAAACTAGTAATGGTTTGGAACCAAATTGCAACAAACCAAAAAATAACATCTTATTTGATAGTGCTTTAAACGTCATTCAGTTAAGACTTAATAACGTGTATTGCCCCCTCGAGCATTGATAATAGCTCGCATACTGTTAATCAGATTTCTAACTTCTTGATCAATTTCTTGCCACTCTTGCGTCAATCTAAGTCTTAGCTCTGGGAGGGTAGTAGGAGGGTACTGTAATGCTTTAATTCTTTTTCCCACTAAGTGCCATAAATGCTCGATGGGATTGAGGTCCAGACTTCGTGCAGGCCAGTTCAAACGTACGATTTCCACTTGTGCAAAATGAAATTTTAAAATTTTGCGTTAATTTTGCGGGAAGTGTATTGCAAAAACTAAAAAAAAAACGAGCTAAGAGAGATAAGAAAACATTTTAAGAATCGAAAATAGAGAATTCAGAGAACAAATGGAACTGCTTGACGAAAAACTAAAACAGAAAAATAGACGAAGTAATATTATCATTACAGGAATAACAATAAGAGAAAAGGACACGGACCAGTTAAAACTACAAATAAAAAATACACTTAGGAATAAAGCAAAAAAATGGTTAGGAAAATAAACGAGAAGTTGTGCCAAAAAGAGCGAGAAAAAAATTGAATTATGAAAAACAAACGCAAACTGAAACATTGGAGATTATAGACCGAAAGGGAAAAATGTTAAAATAGGGTATCAAAAAAATGCCGTCAGTCAACAACAATTAGTCCCAAACAACGCAAATGCGAGCACTTCAAAAAACGGTTAGAAGGAACTCGGACGAAAACGGGAAACTTATTGGCAATGGACGAGATACATAACTCGGAACAAAGGAAAAAAAGGAAATAAAAAAATAAGAAAATAAAAGAAATTTAAATAGGAACGTGGAATGTATGTGGAACAGCCAAGAAGACAAACTAAAATATTTTGGTCAAGGACTTAAAACGAAGCAAAATTGAATTGGTGGAGATCCAGAAAATAAAGCAGAAAGAGGAGATCACAAGGGACGTTGAAGATTATATCCTGATGGGATATATAATCTGTAGAGGAAATAAAAATGAAATACCAAATAGTCAGTAGAAGAGTGAAACGAATGTGTGGGCAAAAGAAAAAGGAATTTTTAGAACCAAAACTACAAAAGGTAGAAACCAATTTCAAAGAAAAAGATATTAGAAAATTTTAAGAAGAAGGGGTTAAAGAAGAAGGGAAAGGTACCAACCAAAAATAATTTTCATTGGAGTGGTATTAAAGTTAAAAAGAAAAGATGCCATGAGTATTTTCAAAGTATGTTTCAGAATGGAACAGGGGTAATGTAACTAGGAGACAGAGAAATTATGATTAATAGCACATATCCAGGGTGGCGGGGAAAAAGCACAAAAACAAATCATAGAAGGAATAAAAATAAAGAAAATAGAGAAAATGCAACCGAAATAAACTACAGACGAAAAAAGGGTCTGCATGTGCGAGTAAATTAATGAAAATGCAACATCTAAAAGAGACTTCGGAAGAGCAACTGGATGTCTGTATGGAAAAGAAAAATGCTAAGGTGGAAGAAACATACCAAGTATGTGGGAAACAAGGAAAAACCAAGAAGTATATGAACTGTCTGGGAAGCCTAAATTAACTAGTTAAAAGCTCAGAGAGTTAGATTAATGGGCCTCATACTGAAAATAAACAAAGAAATGATGATTAGGAGGAAGACCTCAAGACAGTAGGACCAAAAGAATAAGAAAGGGTTGCGAAGAACAAAAAAATTTGGAAAACTACATATATTAAAAAAAAATTTGGAAGTGTAAACTTAAAAAAAGTCTTGGCCATCATGCCTGTGGGGCTTTGTAGGTATAAATGTATTATTATTAAAAATGTATGCTTATTTTCCTTGAACTAGTGGAATTTATGTGGAAAAAAGGATTTTGTATTTTTCATGATCATTTGACAAAATTGTACATACATTTATTGATAATAATTACTCTTTCTTTTATTTCAAAAACTTGTGTTCAATAAATTCAGTAAATGCTAATTGTGTATAATGGTCCATTCTAAATCTGAAAACTGTGTACACATTAAAGTTACCATTACAAAAAAATAAAAAATAGAGGATCTACTGATAAGATGTATAATTGGGAACACAACAAGACCGCAGGCAATTTAGAAGGCACGTTCCGAATGGTTTTTATTACACATTCGTGGTAATCACCACCATCCCTCCTTTTTATCTGAAAACCCAGTCCTTGAGGATTTCGGCAAGTCAGTCCTTAGGTGGATTTGTTTTTATCTAACACATTATTTCGAGCAGCACAAAATTGGTAAAATTGTAGAAATCGTGGGCTGCACTCGAGGAAATTTATTTATTTTAACTTTTATAAAAAAATATCAAGTAGATAGTGTCCAAAAGTTTCATTGGTATCATGGTGATTTTATAGAGTATGTCATTTTACGTTCTCATTAATTATTTTTGACTCGTATTAGCTATACGAACAAAAGTATAAATAAAACGTCAACGACTTTAAAAAGCTTCCTGTCTTGGATGTTCACTGTTCTATATGATAATGTGAGAGTATAAGTTTTTCAAGCTTCAGATCCCCTCAGAGCTTATTTCAGTTCGGATTTTTTCCAAGATAACTCAAATCGAAATTGTCATATTGCATTTTCGTTAGAGATCCTCCCCAGTATTGTTTCATTTCAAGCGACTGCTTGACGTTTTCATTACAAATTCAAAAGGTTTTTTAAACTGATTCACAAGAAAATCCTATTACAATTCTGGGCAGATTTGGCTAATTAAGAACGGCATGCTAATAACTACAGTGCAATTTTATTAGTAGGGACAACTTGATGGCTTCTTTACAGCTGAAAAGCTTGCAGAATTTATTATTAAACCAGTCGAATTGTAAAATCGTCCTTACATAATTTTTAAACTTTAAAAATAAAAATGGTCGACCACAATGTAGCGGCAGTTTCTTGAAACAAAAGCTGGAATAAAACCTGCAATATCTTTATTTTTGCGTCATTCACGCTCAGACAAAGACTTCCTGACTTTATCAACATTATAAATTTAATATCAGATTTTCTTTATTACATCGATCACTTTCAATTTCGCTCTACGATAAAAATTGATAGTTTCGACGTAAATTTTTCTCCTTTTGCAGCAAAGACGTGCGATTACCTATCCAGCTTCAAAGGGCCATGGCTGCTGAAGCCGAGGCTGCCCGTGAGGCTCGCGCTAAAGTAATCGCCGCCGAAGGTGAACAGAAGGCCTCCAGAGCCCTGAGGGAGGCTTCCGAAGTTATTGGAGATTCTCCGGCCGCTCTACAACTCCGTTACTTGCAGGTGAGTCGCTTTTCTAGATCGATGTGCATGGGAGAGCTAAGTTCTTAAGCTTCTTTTATTCACGCTTGAATGCTCCTAAATTGTATCATACGCAAGCACCGGCTCACTTTTGCTCTTTTCTGTATAAGCATCAATGACACTTTTTCAAAAGACACGACCTTTTAGCGTTTGAGTTGGATGGGATCGTAGAGGGTGTCTCAACTGGAACGTTGGGAATATTCGGTTTGTGGCAGATGTCGGATGTCTCAATAAAGGAACGGTGGTTTTGGAAGGCGGGGTTATTTTATTGGGACAAATGATATTTGCGTGTTATTATTATTTGGTGTTATTAGGTTGTCGGTTTCGATTGGTTAAGACATTCTGTGCAAAATAGTTTGATTGGTAATTTTAACTACACATTTGTTGAGAAGCTGATTTTTGATTTATTTCCCGTTCATTATATCTTTTTAATATTCCCTACTTCTCTTCATTACTCTAACTCACTCAAAAACATACTCTGATCTAGAGGGTGTTTAACAAACATGCGGCAAAAATTTAAGGTATACTAAATTAAACTTCCACCTTCAAGCTAACATCAATGGTGTCTATAGAAATTCAATATACCTATCTATTTTCAAAAATCAGCAGCTACTACTAAATAAATATATTTTGCACAGGATGAACCCCTCCCGGTCATAGCGTTGAACACCCTACTTAGTGCCTTGTTCCAAACCGAAAATATTGTATTTAGAAAACTAGATCCTTTAGGTTAGCCGAATAGACCCTAGTGGATAGTATTAGGGTGGGAAGTATAAGGAAGATTATATTAACACTAGTTGCTAATAACTAACCGGTTCTCCCCGCCAGCCAACATATTTTTAACAAAATAACTCATTTTATGTTTGTCACGTGAAATAATACTCCAAACTTGTTCGAAGATGTCGTCATGTCGTCTCTTCTAAGTAGACTCTCCTGTCCACTTTACACAGCATTAAAAACTTAGGCCATCAGGGTTGAGCTTAAGCCTCATTTTCATGCAAGATCACTTGGAAAACTTTGGTCGCTTCATCGTGTTAGCGCCGTGGCAAATAGGTCGGCTTTGAATGGTATTGATGGTGGCTCGGATAGAGAAGTGCGATGAATCACGATTTGCCTTTTAGGGATGACAAATGGGGCGCGGTGGCTTATTAAAGTTAAAGGGCAAGCGCTGATGGGGTGGTTTGCGTGGACGATGCTGTGTAGGCTTGGACGTAAATAATGCGATTTTTATTTCTTGGATAGGGCAGGAAGCGAACATAGAGATTTATCGGTGCGAATGATATACTTTGTAGCGGAATGTTGACAGCATTGAAAACAATAAAAGGGTGGAAATTTCTGTTTTCGTGTCTGGACTGTAGTGAAGTGATTCTCAGTACGTCGGGACACAAAAGTGGTACTAGTTGAAATGGTGAACGAATTGAGACGTTCTTTTCTTGAAAAATCGTAAATTTCATCCGGGACATTTAGTAACATCCATTCATTTGAGTCAGGCAACTGGGGCTCAGTTTAGCGGAACTAAATGCCTTCTTTCAATATAAAGCAGGATATTAGCTTCTACTCTAAAGTTCTAGTTCAACGTAAAATTTTGAATTTATTTGAATAATTAACTTAGCACCAGTAATTAACGGGGATTTTTCCTTTTTCCAATGGAAACATTGCAGATTTTTAATGGATGGGTCGTTAAGCAAATATTTCGTCAGTGCTTCGCTGGTGGAAAATGAAAACGCTGAAACTTGTCATATCTGTCAATCACATTTCAAGAAAGCCACAGTAGCGCTGAAATTAAAGTATGAGGGAAAATATTTGCGATTTTTCACATGGGATTTTTTCGCTGATAGTTACTTTAATTTATTAGCTGGAGAGTGATAATGATTGTGGTTAATGTTTCCCATCAGTGGAATTTGAATATCAGTAATGGAATAATCTTAATAATGGGAATTTTCGTGATGAAAGTGTGCACGATGTTATCTCTGACTAATGGAATACTTCAATTTTAAACAATTATAATTAGTAACTCCACTGTACTGAAATATCACCAATATGGTTTCACTAGTTAGAATTTCTTTTCTCGTTTTACTATATTTTACAACAATTTTCAGGGAGAGATAATCACGTGAAGATATTGAACCCAGCTTGACTGTTAAACATCATTAAGTCGACTTGTTATGCAACAAAAAAGAATATTTTAATTCGGTTGAGATATTTACCCAAGAAACCATAACAAAAGAGTAGGGATGCCTCAGGGTTAAATAAATTTTGTAAGGTTTCACTAAATAAAATAAACTGGTTACGAGTACCTCACAAAAAAGAAAGAACATCCAAATTTTACTGACGTCAATAAATTTAATAAAATACATTCATTCCATCAATTTCAGTTTTAGATAATTTTTGTATAAAAATACTTACTAACAAAAAAACCTTTTCAACGTGAAAGGAACGAAACAAAATTTAATAACAAGAAAGTTAAAAACTAGTTATATAGTGGGTCTCCTAATCAGTTTGACCTCATTTGACCTGAGCTAGGAGCCCCACTACTTTTTATCGAACGTTTGTCATCTCCTTGTGCTCGGTCGACCTGACGGTCGTGTTTTCTTTTGCGGTTATATAAATGTCGATTTACTCGTCGGTGATTTATTTAGTATTGTGCATTTAATTATCGTACTCTCTGTAAAGTTGAAATACGGGCATAAAATATTTGTCTCTTGCGAAGACTGCAGAACTATTCTAGCCCAACGTTCGAAGTGTAGTGGGGCTCCTAGCTCAGGTCAAATGACGTCAAACTGAGGTAGGAGCCCCACTATAACTATTTTAGAAAAGGCTTGTTGCTACGAATATTTGAATATCCTTGTGGAACTAAATTTTTTAAAAAATTTGTTGCATTCGTTGGTATGGTCAAAGCAATTTACACTGTAAAATCTACAATCTATAATACATACATGACATACGTTATACTTTATTCAAATTTCATTGTAAACCTTCTCGAAATTTCAATTATTTCACACAGCTCTGTCCCTTTTTTCATTATCATCAATTCACTGATAGCGATTGGAACGTTAATGTCCAACAATGATTGTTATAAGTGTGACAGCTCATTTTTTACTTTATTTTGTGCTGTGTTTTGTATTTTAAATTACAGTTATTACAATTTATCAAGTAAAAAATGTATACAAAGATTTTTTATGGCATAGCAGTTACATTTAACTAAAGTATATGCGGTTTATACCGGGTGATTTTTTTGATTTGTGATTTAGTTACCCAAGGATTTGAAAGAATTAGAAAGCTAGATAATGCCATGTTCACAAAAATTGAACCCTGGCTGGATTTAAAATGATTTATTTCTGATGCGTAATATATTTAATTGAATTTAGAACAATTGCTTGAAAGTTTCGATACACAAATTGACTCGACATTTCTTATTCTCAACTACTCGACTACTCTTGTATGATTCTCACTTTTAAGACTTTTAGTGTTTCTTTAAAAATAATGGTTTTTAAAGTTGGTAAAAAAATAATCTAAAGGTGTCAAATCAGGTGATCGAGGTGGGTAGATGTGGGTGTGTGTGTGTGTGGAGCTAATTAAACGATCATAAAATTCCCTTAGAAAATTCAAAATTGTTTGAGGTGGATGAGCTGTTGCGCCATCATGCTGCACTAATTTTGTGTTAGTATAATGGTGTTTCTTCAAAATAATGAGGTTTTTTGTACTCCACACTCTCACATTTTGCGAATTTACATAATTCGTTGTTTGATTAAACAAGATAAAATAAATCATTGTTTTCATAACCAAGGTGGTTTAAGTTCTTGAAATACTCATTCACAACAATAAACGAAACATATTTGTGAAAATGAAAACGAAGCACAATTTACTATGTTAAGCCACAAGATTGTCGTAAGGGACGATCTACGTAATTTGGTGACTTAATGGGCAGCGAAAACTAGATCACAAATCAGAAAAATCATAGGCTATAAAATTATCGCAAATTCACGGCCATGTTTGGTTTTCGACTATCGTTTTGATGGTTTTGTTCACCACATTTTGTTTCCGAAATCGGACTTCTAAAAAAGTGAGCTCGAAAATATTAAAAGTACACTTTTTTGGTAATTCAGTAATGAAATAATGAAATAATAGTTATCCAATGCATAATTTTCAGTTTTTATTTTAATTAAGTATCTTGTGTAATACATAATAATTACTAAAACTGTGTAAAAAAAAAAGTCAAGCTTTGAAATTTGGTGAATTTCCCCCATTTTCATCCATGTAAACTTCTTACGCTGTTTCTGCTTGATAAATAGGCAACCAATAATTTAGCTCGAGTGATAGATTTCCTATCTGGCGCAATATTTATTCCGTAAACTATTGTGGATAAAACTGTCGAGAGGAAAACTGTTCAGAAACGAGTCAAGCTAGAGACGAAACGGGAACAAAACGAATCGGAACTAAAGGGTGAACAAAAAACCCGAAACTTCTTTGAAAATGAATAATTGCCTTGACCAAATTTTAATAATAGTAAAAATGTCAAATGGATCATTCAGCGTGTGGTACTAACGACAACATCTTATGGTTTTCGCAACACTTAAATATTACACTGACCGGCAAAAAAACCGGCCACCCTGAAAAATTTCGCAAAACTAGTGATCGTTATTTTATTCAAGAACCATTCAGTATTGACACATGATGTATAAATTAGCAAAAAAAAAAGAAGACAAATAAACGCAGAATTAAATTTAATTTAACAAAATAACAGAAACAGAGCGACAATTTGAGAGACGTCTGTAAGGGTTAATGGAATTGCTTTGCGTGAAAACGTTTATTAATTGCCCAACTTATAATCGAATGACGAAAAACACTGTTTACAAGAACAGTTTCTATTTAAAAAAATATCGTACTTGGTCTGTTTCTGTTATTTTGTTAAATTAAATTTAATTCTGCGTTTATTTGTCTTCTTTTTTTTGCTAATTTGTACATCATGTATCACTAGTAAATTAATAATTTTTAAAGTGGTTTTGCGAAATTTTTCAGAGTGGTCGGTTTTTTTGCCGATCAGTCTATTTTACCTGTTTTAGTTCAGTTTGTGAGGACGACAGATTATTTGTCAAAACGTGTCGAGTATTTAGTTAATAGAAAATCGGTGTTGCGGGGATGATCATCGATTTGTGCATTCATAGGAATGTAGAAACTTACAACTTTCAAAACAATTTTTAAGTAAACTAAAAGTAACTAAAAAGACTAAGAATATATTTAAGTTGATTGCGTGTTAATTACTTTGAGAGTGATTATTATTAATGGACGATACCAGTTAAAGAGAAAAATTGGGTTTGCCAGAATGTCAAAAATGCTGCAGATGAAACGTAAAATTTTGGTAAAATTAATGAAAGTAAAGCAAAATATGGCCTCGTTTTTTAAGAAATGGAACGGCTGGCACAAACAGGAAATAATTTCAGCAGCATCATCAAAAAGATCTGCTAAGTGCAATGATAAGAAAATAATAAGAACGAGTGTCAGTACAAATTTGGATTACATTTTGAAATAAAAAAATAAACACAAGAAATAACTAGTTGGACCAATTTTGTTACTTATTTGTTTCAAGACGACTAGGGAAGTGAACAAGAATAAGGAAACAACAGTGCACAAAACATCAATTATTTAATACAGGAAGGAACAAAGGAGCTGCGAAACATGAAATCCGCAAGTATAAACGAAATTAATAATAAATCTTACAAATATGGCTTTAGGCTGCTCAATAGATTCCTTAAAATATTGAAGGAAATCATTAATGAGAAGTGAATCATAATATAATTAAAGAAGCATACAACGATTTACAAATACAGATTTTATATAAAATCATTAAAAAATAATAAATATGAAAATTTTGAACAAAACCTAGAAGTAGTTGAGCAATTTATTAATTAAGTACAACGTTCAGAAATGCTGTTAGAATGGTTACAGAAGAGAAAATCAATTTGTAAAAGTATCTTACTTAACAATACTTAGATAACTCATACATCGGGTAATTTTTTTAATTTCTGCTCTAGTTGGCCCATGACTCTTACATTTCTTTCACGAATCATATTAATTACAAATAATAGAATGTTAAAAAAATATATATACAGTGTCTCCCTGGATTGAGTTTACAAGAGGAACCAAATTTTTTATTTTGTAAAAAAGTAAAAATAAAGGAATAAAACTACATGTGCTAAAATACGTAACAAACATTAATAAATAGAATAATTTATTAAAAGAAAACAGTATTTAAAAGTTTAGGTGAAATAGTTGTTTTAAAAAATTTTATTCCTTTGACTTTTTTTTTGTAAAATAACAAATAAAAAACTTACTTACACAGAACGTCTTTCGCTTTTGGAGTACAGTCCAAAGAATTTAGCGTTTTGTAAAAATTATAAAAATTTGATTTTATGGTTTTATTTAATGATAGCGTATAACTTGCAATTAAATATCTGTGGAGTGTTAATTTGAAGAAGACTACGTTTAACATTTATAAAGTACGGCGTTCACAATGTACAGAGCACGGCATTTAAAAAATTGGGATGATTAAGTTGAAAAATAAAGGCGGATTTATAAACCACCAATGTACAAGTAAGTATTTTTTTGAAATTTAGATAAAATTTATAATACAAAATTTTGAGGTGGTATTATTACGAGTAGGGGGAATGATTAGACAAATTTTGGTCAGCGTTTTATCATCTACATGATATTCCTAAAATATACCGGGTGTCTGGAAAATGGCAGACTAACTCTTCCGTACGTTATGTACGTATGAGTATGTGATTTTGGCAAATGAAATACCCTCTAAGAAAAGAGAGGGCCGGTGGGTGGGGCTAGTCTGCTAAGATAAAACTGATTTTAGCAAATGGCGTCTCCTGAAAGAAATTTAATTAAATTATTATAAGTAAAGACACTAGAGGCTCCAAAGCACTTTCAGATTCTTTCCAAACAAGAACAATTACAATCCCAAGATTGTTTTAAATTAAAAAAAAAAACTGGGTCTCAAAAATAGGTCAGGACAGAAATTTCCAAAATTGTAACACCAAAGTCCCCCAAAATCGTTATAAATAATTTACAAAAAAAATCTGCATGGGTTCCCAAAATAATACACATGGGTACCCAAACACTGCGGCACTTAAGACTTTTTCAGATTCCTAAAAAGTAAAACTCTAAAAGCTCAAAAGATTTTTCCAGTTCATCCAACAATAAAAATCTTAATAATAATGAAAAAACTTTATTATTAAGATTAATATAGAGTTTAAACACGTATCAGCCTCATCGATACAAACCAACAATAAAACATCAGATTCCTTTAAATTTATCCCAAAAATAAAACACCAGGGGCCGATTTATAGAAAATGAATTATATATTTAATACTTCATTAATTTAACAGAGGCTTAAAATGTAAAATATGAGCCCGTGAGAGTTAATCCGGCATTTTCCAGACACCCGGTATATAACATTTGGCAGCGATTAGTAAGTAGTTTTGAGAATCAGCGTTCATTAAATATCGACGCAGGTGATAGACGTATACATATACCATATACATACAGACAGAACGACAGACGACGGACAGACGGAAATGGGAGATGTTTCCCTTCATACTCTAGGCATGGACTCCATTACAATACTTCCTCAACTTACCTTCGGGGAGTAAAACTCCTTTTATAAACTCAATCTAGGGACATAATGTGTATATTTTATCTAAGGTCGAAACTATATTTTGTGATTTATATTAATTTAATTGTTTTGCTGAAATTTTTCAAATTTTGTTTGCTAAAGTCTTTTTAACATAACCTAAAACAACATAGAAAAGGGTTGATTGGCGGTCTTATTTATTTATTTATCTATATATATATTTTTTAATAACTTTTGTGATATCTTAAATTTGTATATTTTTATACAAAGGATAAAATCTAAATGATACTAGAATTTTCTAATACAGTAAAAGTGGGGAAATACGGACTTTCACATGTGGAAATCGAAAAAATATTCAAGCGTCCTAATTGATAACAATCTAATATAGAAAAATACAAAAATTGTTGAACAGATGGTTCCATAAAATCTCATAAAGAGCACCAAATCAAAAAAACAAATATACTAAGAAAAATAGCAAGTAAATAAAATAATAGAAATAACGAAATGAAAATATAGAGAAACTAACATAATAAGAAAATTATGGACATGAAATAGAAAAATAAGAAGCATATAGCAACTGGTAAAGAACAGGGAACAATTTTTACATCAAGAAAAAAGACGTAAAAGAAGAAGAGTTGTACCATCTTTCGTTACTATCTTCCTTAGAAACTACATAAACGATAAAATTAACCTGTTGGTGGTGTTATTTTTTTTTTAATTTTGAGTTAACCCCATTTTTCACAATAAAATCGTTAATAAATCTGAAATCTGTGCTTTCACATACACATTATTAATAATAGCATCTTTTTGCGAGAGAGTGGGATGTTCCTCGGTTTCGTAGCTGAACAGAATTTAAATCACCTTGAGCCATAAACAGTAAAATGATATTACCACATTACACTTTTATCTAGTTTAGCCCGTCAGTTTCCCCCCAGGTGTTGTAAGTTTTTCGCGAAATCAACTACTCGACTAAACTAACTTTGGAATGCAAATTTGCGCTCCACCTTCATGTCAGAACTTTAAATATTCATCCCATTTTCTCAAAAACAAACGACGTTCTAACAATCGACAAGTTTATTAAAACCGCCCGTGTCTTGCATATTTCATCGCGCCTTACCGTTAGCCTTAAGCCTGAGAAAAATGTGGACACATCATATATTATTCAGAGAGCAATTCCATATTTTCTGGGGTTTAGCTTAAATGGAAAAAGAGAAACTCGTATCCGGTTTTATTTCAGCCTCGTAAAGCTCGCGATAAATCAGGTCGCAACAATTACATAATCTTCCTTGTATGAGGCCCACTATAGCTATAGCACCGTGTAACGTGTCGTAAACTGACTGGTTGCTTCTGTAGACGTTGAACACGATTTCGTCAGAGAAGAATTCGACCATCGTTTTTCCGCTGCCGATCGATATTCTTTCGTACTTCATCAAGTGCAAAGGGGTCGATATCCGGAGTCCTTTTTAAGGATTCGAGGATTTTGAGGACGTTGGTGGTCCTTTAATAGCGCAACGCCATCGAAATTTTATGTCCTATTTAAAGTATATGTGTCCTCGTCGCCGTTAGTGTCTTTCCTATATAATATGTGTGGAATCGGTTTTTGTTTGTTCTGAGGTTAGGTTCTACGTTCATATTGAAGCACTGTGTACACTCGTCTTTCAGTATCAGTATTACATGTACGACGTCACCGTTTCGACTATTCTGGATAATATCATAGGAATAATTGACGTTTTGCACGTTAGATGATAGGTGAATGTATAGTCTGGCCCACATTATATAGTACGCTGGGCGGACTAGATATTTTTTCAAAAATAGGACTTAGGATTAATTACTAGAGCCGAAATTGGGGTAGTACTATGCTTTTAATTCTCAAAAATATGTGCTTTTGGTAGTAAGGTGTGGAGTATTGTAGATTTTTTGTGGCAGATGTATACATAAATAAGATTTTTGTGTCTAGGTGCTAGCACTATTTAATTAATTTTCCATTAAGGAGAACTCCACTTCTACAACCTTTATTCAAATCAAAGATTATCATTTACAACTGTAGTTTACAACGTGAAGAGATTACGAAATATACTACCAACAAAGTTTTACAACCAACAACTGAACCTTTTAGCACTCAGTTGAGCCTTAGTAAGTTCACTTTTGGTGCTCTAATAGACATTCATCAGAAAATTATGAATCTTTCAAGACAACATTTATATGAACAACTAAATGTTAGATGTCTTTGTTTAAATATAGAGTCGTAGTTTAGACGCACAATGTGCGTAAAATGTGCTACATAAGTGTAAAAGTCCGGTAGTACACGGTATCAGTCGGTTTTTCTACAAAAGAGTTATAAGCATAGTACCAGCGCTTTATCTAATATTACTATCAGTGTTTATAGTTCATAGTAACTGATGCATCAATTTACTAAATTCTGAAAATGATGAAAATAACAGTTTTTCAAAAATCAAAATGTCTATCGGTAATTTGGCTTCTAGGCATAGGGATATAGTCACTCCTGATTTTAAAATAAATTCTGAAATACTTAGTATATCATCAAACGTATATATAGGGTGGTGATAAGTAACTCAATAATGACAAAAATTTAAATTAAGTAGAGATTTCATTTTCTGTCGTTGTCATCACTTATCACCTCTTTAGATATGAAATTAAGAGTAAATCTGCCAGTGGCAATATCAAATTTTGAGATATCATGGAAAACATATTGAATCAAAATTGAAGTTGGTTGTAATAATATTTTATCGTAGGTTTAATTACTCAAATAAAAAAAAATACTCGTAGAATATACAATAATCTTGCAATATTGATTTGGAAGACTCAACTTTTTAGCTGCTATAGCTACAATAAAGATATTGGAGGTTGAAAGATTATCCAACGGTTTTATAAAGATAAGAATTTATACTGGAATTTTAGAATAAATATATAGATATATTAAGATATATGGAATCACTCCTGCTATACTTTATTAGTCTAGTTGTTAATTATAAGATATTTTATTTTAAATAAGAAAACAGATTGTAAAATTTTCTAAAGGTAAAAGGGTCCACCCCGTTTAAATACAAAACCATAAAATTAATTAATCAATGTTATGTGTTTGATAGACTTATCAGATCACTCTGTATAGTCTTCCAAATTTGTTGTTGTACTACATATACTATTTAAATGGGCCTATAGTCAGTTGTTGTAAATCTAGTTGTGTGCCAACGTATTATAAATTTTCCAATCAGTATTGGGACTACAGGGTGATCATTTTTAACTAAACACAAATCTATAATTCCTCTCTATAAAATAGGCTGTGCACAAAGCCATCAAGTATTCTGTGTTATAATTAAGACAAGGGCTATATCTACAATAGTTAGCCTACTTAGTACTAAACACTTTCACTTATCCTAAAACTAAATAACTAAAAATTATATGGGTTAACACCCTTTTATATGCACAATTTAAAAAATTGAATCACTCTGTATATAAAAAGTAACCCATATAATCCAGCATACATTTCTATGTACTGTATATAATATTTTTTGCTGTCATTCATGTCATCGGCTTCTAGATCAGTGTAAATAGTCGATGTGTCCAGTGTAGACAAAAACCACCGACCATACAGTGTGTTTTAGTAAAATTTGTTTCGGAGCCACCTTCACTACTGCCTGTATTTCGAACACAGTTTTCTACTGACTCACTGTACTGACTCATACAATAAACAAAACTTGAACCGAGCATATCTGTTTGCTTTTGACCTTTTGACACACTGTCACACGTTTAGTTTAAGTAAGTCACGTTGAACCGGAATCAACACGTAATGCTTTACAGACTCTAAACACAATCTCTGCCGAGAAGAACTCGACTATTGTGTTTCCGCTCCCTATTGATATGTTGACGTACTTCTTGAAAGCTCAAGAGGCCTCCTCTTCGTAAAGAGGGTAAGAAAGGGAGTTTAACGATCTTGTTCTCTAGATACATCGAGGGACGAGTCATTTTTCGCAGATACTCTTTTACACCGAAGTAAGTTTTTAAAAAGATCACGTTTTCGGGCACATTTTTCAACATAGTTGTACTATAAGATATTGTTGTTGTTCTTGATGTTCTTCATTGTAAAAATGTACTGTATAAAGTTACTGATGGTCAAATAAAGTTCTATTTAATATTTTGCTATTGTTATGATTTTTTACGCACAAACACAGGTTCAGGGTTTCGAACTTTATAGTGTATAATCTTCCTTGTCAGTTACCCACTATAGTCTAGCTTCTGTGTCGAGAAACGAATTTTACAACTATAGTTTCTGTTAGACTTTGAGCTCAATATCGACTGGAAAGAATTCGACTATCGTGTTTCCACTACCGCTCGACATTCTGTCGTACTTCATGAAGTGTCAAGAAGCGATGGATGACGATAACCAAATACGTGTCTAAATAATTGTTTTTAAATCCATAATATGTGTCCTTGCACCAAAGGTGTCCTTTAAACGAATGACTTTCCAACTTTTTTTCAGTAGAGATGTATCACCGTGTACACTATATTGACGTTTAGGTACAAACGTATTTTGCATGTTAGGACGATAGATTTTTGATGTGACCACACCCTAGACTTAAAAATTACGGATAAATCACGTATTAAATCAAAATAATAATACTGACTTGGTTTTCTACTAGTTTTTATATTTTTATAAAATACTCACGCTTTTCTAGTACAAAATTCACGTTAACTAAAACTTCAACATTCAGGTCAAACGTGAAATGAAAAAACTGACAAAATTTAACTAAAACAAGAAATTATAAAATGTTATTAGAATGTAATCTTCTATAGTCTGTATTATATTTGGTAAAGCTTCTAAGGCAGTATAAAATTATTAGTGCATGGCTACCAGTTAAATGCATTTTTAGTGTCTTTCGGTAATTAAATTTATAAAATAAACACTCCATTAGAAACATATTTTGCCAAACTTAGTGCCAACTTTAGAAACACAATATTGGATCTACAGGGTGGTTTTTAAAATAATTTTAACTTCCCCGTAATCAGTTACTTAAAACGAGGCTGTGCTTAAATAAGCCATTAAATATCCAGTGTTGTCTAAACAATAAATGCATATGTACCTTATCATAACGTATGTCTTTCAGCCGTGCAACAAGCGAGATCTGTTATTACCTAATTACGACACATGTCGCTTGCTCCATGGCTGCCCCCAATTCCAAATTTCTTTGATCGTATGTCATTTCAAATGCACGCATAGTTTTTGTCTTACACAAAAGACCAAAATTATTTGGGTACATCGAGACTACGCTTTCAAAATATACGATCTAATTGTTAATTTCTCATGTGAATTTAAGCTCATGGTTAGTCGTGGAAAACAAAAAGTTCGTTGTATGTCAATACGAGGAGTTTTGTTTTCTATGGTTATTAAAAAGTACCGTGACTGAAACGGAAATGCCAAGGAATTTGTCTGTACTAATTTTATTGATTGAATGTGTATATTAACGAAAAATGCAATAAAATATATTATAGCACAAAAAATTGTATTTTTTACATGGCACATTTAGGTTTTGAGCACTACTTTAGTTTCTTTTTTAGATTTATTTTCAGTTATATATTTTTACTTCCCGAGCGTAAGCTAAGGAAGTATAGTAATCGAGTCCATCTGACGAATGACCACTTTTATATTTTCTCGACGTTTCATGACCTCTACAATACGAAAAAAGTAGTCTCCCGTTTCCGTCTGTCTGTCTGCCTGTATCAATTTCGATTAGACACGTAATCTCCGAAACTTCTGTACCGTTTGTCGTCAAATTTTGTGTGCATTGTTAAAAATATCACGTAGATGTTAGTCCTGTTGTGGAAGACAAACTCATTCAAATCAAACAAATTTCTACGTGCCATTCTTTCGATGCATAAACATAAATAAACACTTGAGGTTCAGATTGCTATTATCTAGTGCTGAAGGACAACGGGTGTTATTTATGTTATTATATATTTGTTTTAAAGAGCTGGATTTGTTGGATTATACTTATAGCCTTCGACCAATTTTTTATTGATCAAATTAAGAACTTCATTTTAGATTTGCTTATACAGGTCACTCAAAAATATTAAGGAATCAGTCAATTTATTTTATTGAATAAATCAAGAATTGCAAAATAATAATAATGTGATGACGTCACTTCAAAATTGTACATAGTAAATGGGTTTTACATAATATAAAGTAACTATACATGTAGTTTATCACGCCGTGTTGAATTTTTACCGGAAACGTCCAGATTTTTGGAAAAATAAGTCAAAATTATTAAACAACATTTTGCAATTTAATTTTGAATCTGCAAAACCGAATGCGTTGAAATCTTGGAGATGTTTTAAAGTTATTGTATGCATGGTAAATTGTTAATCAAAATATACCTGTTTATTCCCCAAAAAATTAATGACGTCATTTCACAAATTTTGCCGAATAATTTCTACCCACAATGTGCAAAACGTGATGAGTTTCTACTTGAGGTTTATCATTGCATTCATATTTTTTAGATTTGCTTAAGCAGGTGCCTCAAAGAGGGTATGTCATTTGTCAAAATCCGTCTATCTTAGCAGTTACTAGCCCCGCTCACACACCCTGTTCTCATTCTAACGATTTTATCTCTCTTCAGTTGAGATCCCACCTTTCATTCGGAGTAGACGAAACGCATCACTGAAATGGAGGCGGGTGGGCGGGGTAAATTATATGTTCTTTTGTAACGTGGGAATGGGAACTAATAGAACGTAGGCTGTGCTATTTTTTTTTGTTATACCACTTATTTACTAAAACATTTATTGCTTATTTCTGAAGAAAAAAATGAGGAAACGGGTGGGTGGGCGGGGCTAACTTTAAGGCTTTCATACACCCGCCCTCTATTTTCTTAGAGGGTATGTAATTTGCCACAATCAGTCTTTTCTTAGTAAGTACTACACTGCACCAATCCAAGTTCATATACGTGTCATTACAAAAATGTTGATGAGGTCGTCACAAAATTGTGTGAAGTAAAAACTCAACTCGAAAATGCTGGTTATATTTCATTGTACTTTCGGTGCGAGGGAAGTTCTGTCGAAACAACTTTCGACCTATTTTTTACATTTATTTTCAATTATTTTTTTTATTGTCCTTAATTTCAACTTGTATTAATTTTAATTAATTTTGAAGCAATAAATTTTTACAGTTTCTCATATTCGATTTCCTTGAAGATATAACCTACTTTATTACTTTTACCAATAAATATAAACAGAGACATGTGGGAGCTATGAAAAGTAGGGTAACAGCGTCATTTCGACGTCTCGTAACTTATAGTTGATTTGATTAACTTGAAATATAGTGTACCACACAATGTAGCGTCTTGGCATTAAAAGCCACTGTTTAGTAATAGTATATCAAAGAACGAGTTTCATAGGGCAAATATTGAGGCACGAATCAAAGTTTATAGAACGAGCGGCGACGCCGCGAGTTATATAAAGGATGGGTGTCACAATGGCCTTATGAACGAGTTATTTATACTATTTTTTCTACCGCGCACGTTTTTTCGCAAAATGTAATTGAAATTACCACGAAATATTTGAGGTTCAAATTTTCACAACAACTGTAGTTCGAATCAATTCGAGTTTTTGAAAGTTAAAATTGATTAAAATGTCTTGTGAAGAAGTTAGTGAAGTCCTTACATATCCGAAAATACAGGAAATTTTAATTTGACATTTGCCACTGACATTAAATTACACCAGATCTATTAAAGAACGCCTTTCCACTATTAACGAACTGCTGTGACGTCACTTGCGTGCTTTAATAGCTCCATTAGAAAACCAAAAAAAACGTGCGCGGTAGAAAAAGTCAATTTAAGTTTTAGAAAATTATCGAAATTATTTTTTCTGAGTGAACTGTGAGTCTGAAATCACTGAAAATATTTTTCTTTGATTCTTCAGAAACGTGGTCAAACACTTGAACTAATAAGCAATAACCAATTGCAACTGGAAGTTTTAAAATCAAATACGGAATTATCCCCGCAGCACCAAAAATACTTGGATACTTATTTTTTATTTCATAGTAGATATTGTAAAATAGTGGGTCGACAAGAAAACAAAATGAAATCATCAAATATGACTTTATCTTTCATCGTCGTCATCAACAGTCAATACAAATACATAATTGTCTCTCCATTATGTTGGACGTCAAATGTTCATCACGCATTTTGTTCGACATGATCACAATTGTGTGGAAAAACCTTTCACGATATAATAAAAAGGACGAATTGGTAAAAACACCTAATTCGTTAAATTTGTATTAAGAAAGTTAGGCCTTCATATATCATCAGATCTTTACAGTAGCTTAATATCAGTACGCATTTAGTTAGTTCCAATTATAAACTTACAACTTTATAGGTTAGTTAGTAACTTGTTAACATTTACATTGCTACGCAGATTTTACTTTGTAGAGCTTTAACTGACAACAAATTTTCCACTTGGTAATAATCATTAACTCTTACCTTAATTATTATTGTTGTGTAAATTTTTCCTTTAATGTAAAATGTGCGTGATTAATACCAAGTCGTAGCAGCTACAGGATGACAACGTATAAAAACGCATGTGAAATTAGTTGCTATGCTGTTAATACAACTAATGCTAATTAACTATAAATTTTCCTCTGCTTTAAGTTTTCCAAAATATTTAATCCTGTAGAGTCACAACATTTAATTAACAACATAAACTGACGTTAGGTATACTTTACAGACTCTAAATTCAATCTCAGCTGAAAGAAACTCGACTATTGTTTTCCCACTTCCTATTGATATATTGGCATACTTCATGAAAAATAAGATGTCTCCTTCAGTGTAATTATTAGCTCAGGTAAGACCAAGATTGTAGAAAATGTGTGGATTTATTTAGTGTTACACGACAGATTCTTGTATTAAAACGTTTACTTAAGACACAATACTAATAAAGAGAGATTTGTATATTATAATTTGGACGTTTTATTAACCATTCTACCTTTAAATTTAGGATGGAGCATGCTAGGAGAAAGAAAAATAACACGGTAAGTACACACTTTAATATATTTACAAAAATGCACCTGTTCGACTGAGATTTTTTAATTAATTAAAAAATCATTTTTACTGTGCAATAAAATGATAAACGTTAATTTGTACTAAAATAAAATAAATCCCTAGAACACACTCCTAACACTAATCTTAAAATTACTCAACAAAAAAGACGGCCATTAAGCAGCCATTCGCCGTAACAGCGTGCTATTAATTTTCACTACAATATAAAATTTATTATGCTCCTAAAAACCAAAGCGTAAAACTCCATTGTTATGGTCCGCCATTTTTAAAACACACTAAATTTTTTACGGTAAACTCTGAAACCGGGATTATCCCATCGAATTAACTACTGAGAATAAACTGGAGCAGTGTGCATTTCAAGCCAGATTGTTTGTGCATGGCTGCTGTACGTAATTTAAGCAAAATCCTTTGTTGGCGACGTCGTTGGGTGCTTCGGTGCTGTCGGTATGAAACCACAGTCTGAAAGGCTTCACGGTACCTGTAATGAGCAAATGTTTGTGTTAGCACCTGAGTTATCATCTTTTACGTTAATTAGTGCAATGTGTTATTTAAGGGTTTTGTGTATGATGAAGGGTTTAGTGTAGACATGCACTTTGTGTAAAAACGAAAATCATGGGTTCCATGGTAACTGGAATTATTTCAGTATAAAGCGATTGATTTATGCTTTGATGTCAATAATGAAGTAGTTAATAACAGACGTTTATGACACGACGTGACATGGTATTTCCGGGTTGTTGTTATTGTTGTAATTGCTTCAGGTTCTAGGTTTCGGTACCACAAAAATTAATGGAGTTGTTTTAAATTAACCTATACATCATTCACGACGTTCGCTTCGGGTTTTGAATAATGGGAGTTTGACGTAATAATTACTATAGTTTAATTTAACTTTTAGCTTAATTAAAAAAGGTAATGTGGTTTATAATATGGGTAAATTTTAACTTGTGTTATTTTTTTAATAATCAGGTCACTGTACACTGCGAGGGCGCAATTTACTTATATTTTTCATGTTTATACATTGATCAATCTCAGTCGGCTACAGATTTTTTAGCTACCACACACTTCCTTTTTTCAATTCCTAGTTCTTGAAAATTATTGAAATTTTTACACTACATTTTTTCTCTTTTTGGTTCAATCTAATATCTCACAGTGAATATGGTAAGCCACTGCAAACTATCAGAACATTCCTCTTCTATTAGCCTTTTTATAATTTACTTTACATTTGGCGATTGATTCCTTCTTTATTTCTTCCTTTTTCCTTTTTTTCCTTTCTTGATCCTATGTTTTTCTACTTTTTGATATATGACTACCAAGTTGAGCACTGTATAGGTATATCAGCTGTCTTTTTTCCATTATTGCTATTTACCGGCTTACAGTTCAAAGATTGTCTAAACTTCTCAGTTTTGATTTTATCTTTGTATTTTCCGTTTTCCAATCTTGCATGTTCTCATTTTTTTGCCTTTTTTACAGCGTCATCAATCTATTCGTATTTTTTCTTACAAAGTTTTTATCGCCATTTTAAAATGCCTCTAGACGTTTGATCTCTTGATTTTTTACGCATCTTCTCTTCAGAGTCCTGCCTTTTCGTGTTCTTTCTGTTGATCTTTGTATCAACTGCCTAAGTCTTCGTTCCATTGTTCTTCCTAATTTTTTATTGTTATGCTATTGCTACGATTTTTTTTATTTTGTAGAGTATTCCACCAATTTTTCTATCCACTTTTCTCCAAAAATTTGATCATTCCTTCCTGGTGCTTAGCCCAATATTATTTTAAAGATGGCATTTTTTTATTCGTAGTCTGTAATTTGACGTCCTACTATTATTTTTCTATCATTTTCTTTAATTTTGCCAGTTTTAGTTAGTTTCTCGAAATGTGGCTTTCACCTATGTTATTTCGTGTTCATCTTATTTCCCTTGTGTTTAATATTTTGATATTTTTTAATGTGTTCTGCTTTTTTTTTAATTTACTTCCCAATTATTACTTTGGATTTTTGTCTGATTTTTTTTATATTGAATTGATTGTATTGTTTTTCTTCTGAATCAATACTTTCATGTTTTCTCCACGTTTCATGACCCCGAGAATACGAAAAATTACGTCTCCCGTTTCCGGCTATCTGTCTGTCTGTCTGTCTGTCTGTCGATTTTTATTAGGCAAATGATCTATGAAATTAATATTAATCATTGTGAATAACTAGTAATGAAAAAAATCATTTGAAATACCGGGTGTGTTGTTTAGAAAGATAAAAATTTGAATTTTGAAATGGTACACTAATATAAACACGGTGTAGAATCAGTGTAGTTTTAGTTTTGTTGTACCTTTAGATTTTCCTGAAATGACAGCAACATTAATTCCAAATGAAGTAGGGCGTGTTTACTAAGTGTTGCAGTATTTTTAACAGTCAACAACTTCGTCAGACGTAAGTATCCTTTCACCAGAATACTATTAAATCATTGTTACCACTGAATCTGCTTTTTGGAAATTCAGTGCAATTTTACGCAAAGTTCTTGTTCTGAGGATACATCTTTCACATTAACCGTTCCAAAACACCAAGAGATTATTTTCTAAATTTTTTGAAATTGCGATATTTCACTGGCCTATTGTGGAAAAACGGTTGGAATTATTTAAGAAAATGTATTTAAGTAGTGAAGTTTCGAAATGGTAGAAATTTCCATAAGGAAAAATTTCACTTTTGAAAAAGTTGTCTAAAATCCTCAAAAATTCTGGGATGTAGATGTCGACGTACTGAATCCAAAAATAGAACGCGTTTATTGTCACGCAGCAATATTTTCGAAATATTCGGTATGAAAATCAGATTTTTAAAAAATTCTAAATATTGCCACATTTCAATTAAACATTATGGAAAAACGGTTCGGATTATGGAAGAAACAAGGCTAGAAATGACTTCTAGAGTACGAAATCTACAAAAAATGCCTTTAGTTAGGTTTCTAAAATGGTCAAAAATGGGTCGAAATTTGCACGGGGTGCGGTATTGGAACATTGCGCTTTTGAAAAAGTTGTTTAAAAATCCTGAAAATTTTTTGATACAAATTTCGACGTGCTCATTCCAAAATATAGCGCGTTTATGGTTACGGAGCAGTATTTTCTAAATATCCGGTTGGAAATTCTAATTTTTTTAAATTCTAAAAATTGGGATATTTCAATGAGGCACTTTGGGAAAACTGTTGCAGTTATCGGAGAAACGAGGCATGAAGTGACTTCTCGAGCCTGAAATATACAAGAAAATGTATTTATTTAAGTTTGGAAAATGGCCAACAAATTTGCATAAGGGTGTGGTACTGGAAAATTTTACTTCTGAAAAAGTCGTCCAAAAATCTTCAAAAAGTTCTGGGATATATATCCAAAAATATACCAAGTTTATGGTGACGGCGCAATATTTTAGAAATATTCGGTTAGAAAGTCATTTTTTTTTAAATTCTAAAAATTACGATATTTTAATTTCAGGAAAAACTGTTCGAATTATCGAAGAAACGAGGCAGGAAGTGACTTCTCGAGCCCGAAATTTACAAGAAAATTTATTTAGTTAATTTGGAAAATGGTCAAAAATTGGTCGAAATTTGCATTAAAGGCGTGGTTTGGAAATTTAGTTGTCCAAAAATCCTCAAAAAAATTTGGGATATACATCTCGACGAAGCAATATTTTAGAAATATTCGCATATTCGCTTGGAAAGTATTTTTTTTTTAATTCTAAAAATTGCGATATTTCAATTTTAGGTAAAACAGTTCGAATTATCGAAGAAAGGAGACCGGAAGTGACATAAAAGAGGTCGAAATTTGCCCGGGGGGGGGGGGGGGGTATTAGAATATTTCACTATTGAAAAATTTACTTAAAAATCCTCAATTTATGGTGACACAGCAATATTTTCACAATATTTAATTTGAAAGTCAAACGTGCAAAAATTAGTAGGTTTGAAATATTTGAAATAAAAACCCTTTGACACATTTAATTTACAGATGTTATCTCTAGAAAAACAACTCTAAAACCATATTAGTTTTGTACCGTTCTTTTAGTGTTAATTTACCAACCAAATTTCTTGCTTCTATTTTTTAAAATAATTGAGACATTAGAGCCCAATAGATACCCTAAGATCATACTATTTTTTTTAACATTAAGCCAAATGAGTCGAAAACAACCTGCGTGTTAATCATTCTAAATTCCTGACTTCTATCTCTTCAAATAATTAAAAAATTATAGTAAAATATATAAACAAAGACAACCCGTAGGTAATAAAGAAATTCGTTTTTTCTGTTTCTCCATATTTTAAAACCAGTGCTTTTTAATAAGTTAATAATGAAACTTTTAGGCGGATTTCATGCTTTTGTTCAGCTTTTTTTTTCATTTCTAATTTTCAAGCCAAAGCTGTAGACTTTTATATATATGTTATTGTACTGTTTTTTGAGTAGCATTAATTTAAATTACTTTCGACTGTACAGAGTGAGTTTTTTTTTTTAAAAGAACACAATTTGTTTTTTTTTTTTTAATAGAATAGCCTATATATTTTTACATTATGTTATTAGGTTTTTCCCAGACTTTATAACTGTAGTTTATTTTTGACATTTTATTGCGAAGTGCCACGTCATTCCAATTTTTTTAATGTTTCTAACAAAGCAAGAGTTAACAAAAAAATCGCAATAACATTATGTTCAAGACTTGTTGTTGTAATAATTTGTAGAGGATAAAACAGAGGTACACTCTTTATTATGAATTAAATAAAATTCTAAAACACAGTGTTTACGAAAAATTAATTTAAAATATAGAAAATAGTTAACAAAAAAAAGAACATTAAAATGCACTAATACAATATCAGTTGTTCTATTTGAGAAATCTAATGTATCGATATTTATTCCCGCACAAAACATTGTAACCCAGATTTAAAAGATAACTCTTTTGCGATTTTGTTGTGACCCCTTTTATTGCCGAAACATTTCAAGAAAACTGTAATTAACTTGATGACGTCGTATCGAAATTCCGAAAATAAACTATATAAAATTATAAAACCAACATACATAGAGATATTCCATGTGAAAAAACTTTGTTGTGTGTTACGCCTTAAAAACAAAAGATCTTGTATAGTTGAAAATAATTTTGGTATATGGTCCTCAAAGAACTGCAGAACTTTAGCCTCGAGCTCTTTTTTTCTGTTTCTAATAATTAATGATATATCGAGGAACGGCTGCTTACTGAGTCATCCTGTATATTGTTTTTTCACTGTATGCAGTTGGTACGAGCATTTCCACTTTATAATCACCAACTATTCAATTTTTCCTTATTTTAGCTTAAACGACGCTTTTTTTCAAGCTTCTCAGCAGAAAGTTGAACAGAATAGAATTTTAGGTTACAGGTGATAAATGTACTAATTGTGACATGGACAATGTAAGACTAATCATAATGTGCTTTATTGTCAAAATTTTGGAAATTTTGATAAGTAATTATATTATTTATCAATTGATGTGTATTTTTTACACATCTTCTGTATACAATTCAAAAAGATTAGGCCCGATGTACATCGCTATTAGATGCATTTACTTTTTTTTATATTAGGACTTACAATGGAACACTAATCGTAATGTTATTACGAAATTTTTTTAAGTCATCGTGTATATGTAAAATAGAAACAAATTCAAGCATTTCTTCATCCTACTAGACTATATTTTTTTTTGTATGAAAAATTACACTAATTTCACTAAGCTTTTTTAGGATAATCAATAAACAAATGTGTTATCAGACAGTTTAGTAAGCATTGTGGAAAACTAAACGCAGAATGTAGTTAATGTAAAAACAATACCATAACATCAACTATCCATTACGGCTCGTCTGATTTAAAATACTAAATAGGAATAAGTGGTAGTTGTTATACCTCTAACACTTAACCTATTCTGCGAAATATGTTAAAAAATAGAGCTTTTGATGTAAAAATGTGATACTAAAACAATTTAGTAGTATTTTACACCACTATTACTATTATAATCTGAGTGTTCTAATTCTGAACAAGTTATATAACCGTTGGTAATAAAAAATGCAGTTTGTACAGAAAATTACATACAAAAATTTCCCGTTCTGATAATTTATTTTTATCTATACAATATTTCTAACGCTAATCTTTTATAGTACTGAACTAAATTTGTCCCACATTGCATATCGATTTTGTAATAATTATCTTTAAACAAAATATGAAACATCTAGTACATACTGTGGATAATAACACACTTTGTGTATTTATCTTGTTGTTTTTTTGGAAATGATTTTTTGTTGAGCTGTGTAATAGTATTATCACAACAATAGAATTAAATTAACTGATTTCTAGCTACCTAATTTAAGTTAAAAGTAAAAATAATAACATATGAATTGGCATGATTTATTCGAAGCCAGCTGGATTTCGCACTAGAGGGTCTTTTATTCATATGTGCGCTGTCATGTTCAGTGAACTTCAACCTTATACAAATGTCGCTCAAATAAATTTTAAGTAAAAGCATTAACGTAGCTGCGGAATTATTTACTGCGATCCAGACTTTGTCAACAAGAACAACCACGTAGGCACAAGTTAAATTTACATCTTTAGACTCTAAGACAGTATAAAAACAAATATTGTGATAAAAGGAAAATAAATTTAAGCACGTTTTCTTAATAAACTAGTAACCGAGACTTAATGAATACAGAATGAACTAAGAGAATTATTTATAGCATATGTGGAGTAAAACAAGCATTGGCAATTGATTGCTAGATAAACTAATTACAAATCAAACGGAGTCTAGAATAGTCGGCACCTAAAAACACCTTTACTTAAGTGCTTGAAATTTTCCTGTAACGCTTTTTTGCTTATAAACAACGCTGAGAATTAATTTGTTTCCTGCTAAAGTAACAGCGAACGGATATGTATAAATAGATTTAATAAAATCTAATAGGGTTTTACCGCTTCCAACGCTCTTAACATATTAAAATTTTATAATAAAATTAAGCCGATGTTTTGTTTTACACCAAAGGTAGGTATTAAAGGCTATTTAACATTTTTACGCTTCGTAAAAATATTCAAACCGTGTTAACAACTTTTCAGGCGGGATTTATACCAATTTTTTATCCCGGCGCATCCACCATTTTCAACACATATTAAACGATCATTAAAAGGAAACACTTCATATTTTAGAAACTTTCAAGTGGTTATAGCACGAAAAAAAGTTAATTCAAGGGGTTGATGTTTAATTTCATAATTTAAACTTGCATTAGATTTCCTTTTATACGTACGAGTATAATTTTCGTGATTTAAAGAATTTAATGAATTATAAGCGAGCGAAGCGAGCTGTCCTATACTGAATTTCAAAACGAAACACTCTCTCCTCTCCTATGTTTTAGCAAGTGTTTAATAAAAAACCCGGGTCAGAATCGATGCAGGTTTTTTAAAATTAAGATTTTCTAATAATAATAATAAATCGAAACATATTTCTAAACTTACTTCTGACCGTCGTTGGTTGTAGCGTGACGTCAGCGCTTAAAACTCCTCCACAGATCCTGTCTACGTTGGCAGAAGGTCCTGTGATGGATCTGCCCACATTCGTGGCCATCGGTATAATGAGGTAGTCCGCCTGGCAGAAATTCGACGACCCTGTGCTACCCACCATCGCTTGAACGGCGTTGTTCGAATTGCCGGAAAGGGTGAACGACTGACTTCGGTTGTGGGCTGGAAAAATTGGCAATAAGGCAAACTGTCTTTTTATTGAGTTCATATAATTTTTGTTTCGAAGAAAACGCGAAATAAGTTAAATTAAGTCATTACAAGAGCAGGCTTTCAAGATAAGCACGGGAAACTTAATATAGAATAACGACTCTGCGTAAATTGAATTTATTATAACACTTTATTTTATTCTCTGTATTTTGTTAGCGAGGGAGGTCTTTGTGGCAGTATGTTTGTTTTCACTAAAGCGAAAACGCTTTAAATGTCACTGAACTTTTGAACGATCGATTTTGATGTGTGGTTTCGTAGTTTAGACATAGATCAATTGCTTCAATTAATGTAAAAGTATGAGTAAAGTGAACAGACACGGTCAGGTCATTACTCACGTAAGATTTACGTTTCATTTATGTACATTTTCTACATTCGGATGTAATGATTTTCCGGCTTTCAAACTAGAAGCCTGTTTTAACTAACTACTGAACCATTAAAGTTACTAAATTAAATTTCTTTCACAATTTACCACTTTATTGATTTTTAGAAACCTGTTGTAAGAAATATGTACATTGGGCGTGGGCTAAGCAATTTTCGTTACACTTGTTTACTTTTACATGTTTCCCATTTAAACTAAAAAGGCTGTTTTATTAGGGTTTTTGTTATGATAAGGTCCATATTGTTAAAGCTTGGTAAAAAGTGAAGTTTTAGCTTTATCGAGCAACCTCACTGACTTATTGATTCTGTCTTTAAACCTCTCATGCTTCTTGCAAAATAATCTCTTTTTCTCAAACGTAAGTGGATAAAAAATATGCTGAATGGTAACAAAGTAATGCATAAAATTTAGAAAATCTTTTGACGCAGGTGTAATAAGGATAAGATCAAAGAGCTGTGGAACGCAATTATACTTATACTTCGGCTCACTTTCTGCTGCCCAAATTATTCGATTTTTGCTTATTATTGGGAATACTAGTAGTCTCCAACCTTCAACATCTAGGCCAGGGCCGATAATAATTTTTGAGAACAAAAAAATTTAGAACAGGATGATATCCATTGGAAAAGGAAGAAAATACAACAAAAATAAAAGGAAAAATAATTTACGGGCGATCTGAGGTCGGGAAGGGGAAGAGGGTGAGCTTTTAAGAGTAGACAACGGTTTATGACGATTTCCGGCAAAACTACAAGTCCTATCGCAAAAAGTTAAATAGCAAAGTAATAAAAAGATCTACAACTTTTGTATTTATATAACCTCAAAATTTGTGCGCAAAATGCAAATAACCGAGTTTTTGGTTTTTTATTTTTACCTCCCACAAAAAAGTTTTTTTTTGCACGACTTTTGGTGAAAAGTTACCTATTTGTGTCCCAAACTCACTGTAATTTTTTTGATTCAAAATATTTATTTTTTTCCCTTATTTTGATTTAATATCGAAAAAGCACCGTAATTTTCAATCGAAAATGTTGGTATATTTCGATTTGCAATTTTTTAATTTATCAATGTATCATGGAATCTTACGTTTTTCGAGTAGGTAATTAACATTTTAATAAATAGCTCCAAATTTTACATAATAATTAAAAAACAAATTTTTGAATTCGAGTTTTTTCGGTTTTTTGCATTTCCTGTGAAAATTTGCCATAGTAATGTATAATTTCTTTTACACCATCAGAAAGTAGAGATTTCAGCGAACAAAAAGCATACTGATTTTTTTAAAAAAGTAAATATTTTGACATGAGAATTTTCGATTGAAAATTAGGGTAATTTTTCGATATTAAATCAAAATAAGGGAAAAAAAAATATATATATTTAGAATCAAAAAAATTACAGTGAGTTTGGGACATAAATAGGTAAGTTTTCACCAAATTTCGCGAATTTTTTTTTTTTTGTGGGAGATGAAAATAAAAAACCAAAAACTCGGTTATTTGCATTTTTCGCATAAATTTTGAGGTTATATAAAGAAAGTGTAAATACAAAAGTTGTAGATCTTTTTGTTACCTACAACTTTGCTATTTAACTTTTTGCGATAGGATTTGTAGTTTTGCCGGAAATCGTCATAAACCGTTTTCTACTCTTAAAAGCTCACCCTCTTCCCCTTTCCGACTTCAGGTCGCCCGTAAATTATTTTTCCTTTTATTTTTGTTATATTTTCTTCCTTTTCTAATGGGTATCATCCTGTTCTAATTTTTTTTCACTTTTTACCATTTTCGAAGGCTTCGGCACTGGCCTAAATATTATACATACGTATCCATTCATATTTTGTTGTTGTTTAAGATTATTTCTGATTAATGCTGCAATGACAACATACGTAACGGTTATTAAAAAATATGGTAAATATTTTACAAGAAAGAATAATGGTTTCCGAATTCGAAGGAAAAAATTGTTATATTACCTGTATAGAGAAATTACCACACTGCCATTGTTTTTGACGTACTACTTCGCGCGGTGTTGTGAGTTTCAGCACGCATTAAAAATGGATAGGTAGAATTTCGTTTGTGATTCCACGAAAAGGCCAATTGTTTAAACAAAATGAATCACATTAGACGCCACAGTCAAAATACGTGGCACTGACTCGTTTTTTATAACAATGATATTCTTCATGTTTTTGTTTAAGTTATCACATTGTCTTAAACGTTTACTTATTTTGAAACAGGATCTTGAAAATTACCTTGAGTTAAATTAATATCATCATGGACTAGAAACGGAACCATGATGAAATCCAAACTATTTTCTCACAACTTGAATTTGAACATTTATTCTTGTCTTATTTTTGCGTATGAAAAATGCTGAACACGCTTTCACTATCTCGGTAAAAGAGTGAGTATTCCCCATGAAAGCAACGTGATCTAACACAGCAACAGCAACAGCTCCATCTTTGACGACCCTAGCGGGATTATGTTTTCTGTTCTTAACACAGCCAGTTTTCATAAATTTGTTCATTAAGTCCATCACGTATTTGTACGCCACATTTTCCCCAGATGATTGTTATTAAAAATACAAGCAGTGGCGCTGGCATTTTATCCACGTTTTTAGTATCAGGTCATTCTGGCAGGATGTAGATTTTTTTTAACTTAAATTAAAGACTCAAAATGTCAACGTAATGCTTTTCTAAATTTATACTGTCTGTCGAACGTAAAATATCGAGGAAAAACACCAAATTCTAACATATACAAATTTCCTCCCGTAAAAAGACCTCAAGGGAAATTTTACACTTCACTCACTTTACCTACCAACTCTCGCATATTGAAAAATTCTCAATATTATTTAACTAAAATGTATTAGGAAACTTCTGCCAATGGAGCGATATTACTTTTCAAAGAGTTAGAAAATAGAAGTAGTACATTTTGTAACCAAAAATCCTTTTCGAAGAAGTTTGACGTATTCACATTCTCAACACGTATTACATTTAGCTCACTACAAAATAGTTTGTTTTGTTGGTTTCTAAATTAAAAAACCCCTTTCCCTCGTGTTGCGAAAACTGAAGCAATTGGCAACAGTTACTCAGCAAACTTGGAATAACTGTTAAAGTTCAAACTGCACGTAAAGAACATTCAAAGTACTTGTTTCAAACTCTGACGAAATTATTTGTAGCGAGTGGAGAGGGATAAATACACGAAAATTCATAGTTGAATTCTCAGATCTATACGAATTGTTATTTAGTAATACTGGCAGTGATTTATACCTTTCGTCCCTTCTATAGGGTTGCCCTTCGTAATTTCCGATTGAAAAGCGGTGTTGGTAGTTTTAATGAGTAAACAAGATACACCGTAGTAATTAAATAAGTAGTGTCACAACTTGTAATGCATTACGTGATAAGTAAAGAGCGGATTATAGGGCAAATGTGTATATATTATTTAATAAAATCTACCTGGATCGTCGCACTGCGTATACTGCACCCCACAGAAATTCCTCTCATTCCGAATGCATATACTATAGTCCTGATTTGACAGCTGTAACCCTGTAGTCGGATCATAATTGAACGACCGGATCTGACCCGCAACTCCTGTGAAGTACTGCAAACAACCCTCTTCAGCTAAAAGGCAAATCGAGTCAGTTATTGTGGTGCGGTGAATGCTGCGCATACCTCGGTAAATCGAACTGCAAGGTATTTGTGAAATTCTGATCTTCCAATTTCTCGGGAACATGGGGCCGCTGGTTACCACCGACAGCGTCACGGGGTTGGACGTGCCAGTTCCTGCATCCACGTACACTGAAAGCGTGGAGATATAAATGTGAAAATTAAAGAAAAGCGCTTTTACGGTGGTTGCCAGTGTTGGTGCCGCAGATGGGCGGCACGGGATTGCCACCGGACACTATGAACTGGTCGTTGTTGCAAATGTTGTTGGTGGTTTCGGGACCCATTAGGATGAACTGGTCGAAGTCTAGCCTGCGAAACGAAATCTATATAAGTGGTGTGTAGGGAAGAATCAGTTAGTTCAGGTTTGTGGCCGCTGTGCTATAAAAGAATTGTTGGGAATCAATATAACAACATTTTTAACAGTAGAGTTTAACATACTATAATACTGTTGGAACATTACTAAAATGTTCAATTTGAAAAAAATGGTTATTTCGTAATTATGTTCTAGAATTTTTAATAAGCACTTTGTACAGTGAGGCTCAGTTTTATCGTTACTAGAACAATGAAGATATCTTTGTTTTTCATTCTACAAAAAATATTGATCCATGAGCGTAGCGAGTAAACTAAATTTTCAGTACCTACGAGTAGAAATAAAAAAATAATTTTCGAGACACAATGTCTCCTATTAAGTCAAGAAAAAAATATTTAAAAAGTCATGAACAATTTAATCAGTGGAGAGTCAAAAAACCGTGAACGAAGTTAGTGAGAATGCTTTGTTGGCATTCTTTTTAGAAAAGGTAAGAATGTCATACATTTTTAAAGCAGATTTTGTGAAAGAAAATTTTCAGTGATCTGACGCAAAACGAAGTTACCGAACATGAGCATCTCATTCAGTATTCCCCAGTTTTCTTCCAGTATGAGTGTCAACACATCGGAGAATCATTTTCTCTCCACGGTTGCTCCACTTTTCATAATTTAACAAAATGTACAGTTAACATTTAGCAAAATAAATCGATTGCATAATTATGTAGAATGTCTATGAGTGAACGTCAGAGTCCGGATGAAATTGCGCCATTTCACCCAATCTGCAGCTTCACGGGGCGGGGAAAAGTGCGTCGCTCAGGGCTGGCTTGTCGTCACGGGTGGAGCGAAATTGCGGCTCTATGTATGATCCGCTCGTCATAGAAGGAAGTGCTTCACTCGGCATAATCGTGGCAGTGACAGTAAGTACGATTCGTAAGCTCTCTTAATCGTCTCGTCTCCGGTGGAATGGAATTGTGGCTCTCTATTAATAATAACCCTATCCGACATGATTTTCATGAGTGAATTGAAATTCGTTACCCTATTTTTTCTTTTATTATATATATATATATAATATATATAACTTTAATAGCTATTCCCATGCTTATCTATGACTTGTAAAACCGGCCCTTAACCCTCTCAATTCTCTCATCTCGACTAGAGTGGAATTACGGCTCTTTATGTGATCCGCTCGTCGTAGAAGGTGGGGAGTGAGAATTACGTAAACCCTACCAAGCACAATCTTAAGACGAGGGAGGAGCCTCATTTCACGCCACAGTACAACATAATAATAGCAATGTCATTTTGCAAAATTCACATTTAATAGTGCCAAGAGGTAAAGAAATAACTGTTTATTTTTAGCCTAAAGAGACTAAAAAAGGCACCGTATACAGCTCAAGTACTTAAATGTTTCCATTTGTTCAAAGTTTGCATTTCGTTCTGAGTTCTCTCATTCTAGTCATCTTCATTTTTTCTTGGTCTATTTTTTAACCTATTTTTCCCTCTTGTTGCATCCAGCATCTTTTGCATTATTAATTCATGTTCTACTATCAACACTATAACGTCTGTCTACGCCATGATTTGCCTGTCCTTCCTTCTAATTTTTTCTTTGTTAATCTTTAGTAATACCTAGTGTTGCATTAGGTTAAACAGTGCACATGATAACGAATCTCCATGTGTAACTCCTCTGTTGATGTCAAACTCTTCTGTTTTTCCTTTCTGTGTTTTAACTGTTTATATTTATTCTTCTTCATCGTTAGTCTTCTGTATTAGCAGTTTCTTCGTTTTTTTTTTTTACTTCGTAGATATAGTTTTCTTTGAACAACACAATTATTATTTAAGAACATGTTCATTTGGTAATGTCTTGGAGAAAAAGAGGATAGCAATTAAGTCGCATCCCCGGCTCGCGACGAATAAAAAGAAAATCATCACAATAGAGGTTGGGTGGGTGGGCGGGGCATATATTTTGCATTTTTTTTTAAATACACGTAGTCTTTTTTCACAACAAGAGGGCTTAATCTTTCGCTTTCTTTTTTATTTCATACATATAGTTTTCTTTGAACAATACGATTATTTAAGAACATGTTTCATATGATAATGTCTTGGAGAAAAAAGAGGATTGCAATTAAGCCGCCCCCCGGCTCACGACGAATAAAAAGAAAATCATCACAATAGAGGTTGGGTGGGTGGGCGGGGCTTATATTTTGCATTTTTTTCTTAATAGGCGTAGTCTTTTTTTCACGACAAGAGGGTTTAATCTTTGTTTTTTTTTTACTTCATACATACAGTTTTCCTTGAACAACACAATTATTATTTAAGAAAATGTTTTATATGGTAATGTCTTGGAGAGAAAAGAGGATTGCAATTAAGCCGCATCCTCGGCTCGCGACGAATAAAAAGAAAATCATCACAATTGAGATAGGGTGGGTGGGCGGGGCTCATATTTTGCATTTTTTTTTTTTCTTAATACACGTAGTCTTTTTTCACACCAAGAGGGCTTAATCTTTCGCTTTCTTTTTTATTTCATATATATAGTTTTCTTTGAACAACTCGACTATTTAAGAACATGTTTCATATGGTAATGTCTTGGAGAAAAAAAAGGATTGCAATTAAGCGCATCCCCGGCTCGCGATGAATAAAAAAAATTATCACAATTGAGATAGGGTGGGTGAGCGGGGCTTATATTTTTCTTTTTTTTTTTCTTAATACAAGTAGTTTTTTTTTTCACAACAATTGGGCTTAATCTTTGTCAAAAAATATTTGCTTATCCCCTCCAAAAACTTGATGACGTCAGCTCAAAAGTTTGTGGAATAAATCATATCTAAAATGTACAAAATATGATGAGTCTGTACTTGTGATCTATCACTCCATTCATATTTTTTGGATTTGCATATGCAGGGTGACTCAAAAAAATTAATGAATGCGTAAATATATTTTATTGATTTAATCAGGAACTACAAAACCGAATGCTCTGAAATCTTGCAGATGTTTTAAGGCTATAAAGAGCATCATAAATCTTTAGTCAAAAAATATTTGCTTATCCCCTCCAAAAACTTGATGACGTCAGCTCAAAAGTTTGTGGAATAAATCATATCTAAAATGTACAAAATATGATGAGTCTGTACTTGTGATCTAGCACTCCATTCATATTTTTTGGATTTGCATATACAGGGTGACTCAAAAAAATTAATGAATGCGTAAATATATTTTATTGATTTAATCAGGAACTACAAAACCGAATGCTCTGAAATCTTGCAGATGTTTTAAGGTCATAAAGAGCATAATAAATGTTTAGTCAAAATATATTTGCTTATCCCCTCCAAAAACTTGATGACGTCAGCTCGAAAGTTTGCCGAATAAATCATATCTAAAATGTACAAAATATGATGAGCCTGTACATGTCATTTATCACTCCATTCATATTTTTTGGATTTGCTTATCAGAGTGACTCAAAAAAATTAATGAATGCGTAAATATATTTTATTGATTTAATCAGGAACTACAAAACGGAATGCTCTGACATCTTGCAGATGCTTTAAGGTTATAAAGAGCATAATAAATGTTTAGTCAAAATATATTTGCTTATCCCCTCCAAAAACTTGATGACGTCAGCTCGAAAATTTGCCGAATAAATCATATCTAAAATGTACAAAATATGATCAGTCTGTACTTGTGATCTATCACTCCATTCATATTTTTTGGATTTGCATATACAGGGTGATTCAAGAAAATAAATGAAAGCGTAAATTTATTTTACTGATTTACTCAGGAACTACAAAACCGAATGCTTCGAAATCTTGAAGATATTTTTAAATTATCATAAGCATGGTAAATTTTTGATCAAAACGTATTTGGTCGTCCCCCCTAAAAAATTTATGATGTCACCACAAAATTTTGCTGAATAAATCCTATCTAAAATGTACAAAATATGGTGAGTCTCTTCTTGTGATTTATCATTCCATTCAAATTTTTTCGATTTGCATATACAGTGACTCAAAAAAATTAATGAATGCGTAAATTTATTTTATTGATTTAATCAGGAACTACAAAACCGAATGCTTTGAAATCTTGCAGATGTTGTAAGGTTATAAAGAGCATAATAAATTTTTAGTCAAAATATATTTGGTTATCTTCTACAAAAAACTGATGACGTCAGCTCAAAAGTTTGCCGAATAAATCGTATCTAAAATGCACAAAATATGATGAGTCTGTACTTGTGATTTATCATTCCATTCATATTTTTGGATTTGCATATGCAGGGTGACTCAAAAAAATTAATGAAGGCGTGAATTTATTTTATCGATTTAATCAGGAATTACAAAACGGAATGCTTTGAAATCTTGGGAATATTTTAAAGTTATTATAAGCATGGTAAACTTTTGTTCAAAATGTATTTGTTCATCCCTCCTAAAAAAATTAATGACGTCACCCTTAAATTTTGCTGAATAAATCCTATCTAAAATGCAAAAAATATGATGAGTTTGTACTTGTGATTTATCATTCCATTCATATTTTTTAGATTTTCTTAAGAGGTGGTTCAAAAAAATTAATGAAGTCAATTTATTTTATTGATTAAATTAAAGGCAACACTTATTATTAGTATTACACCCCAACCAACCCAATTTGGTAGACACAAAATTTGTTAAAGGAAAAACTCGGTTGAAACATAAGGGTAGCACGCTTATTTACATCGACTTTAACATTACAGACCTGCATTTGTTTTATGCGGTCACTTGGTTCCGCGAATGCGAAATAGACATGTTTATAATCAACCAATTGTGAATTTCACCGTCAAGAATTAAAATAAAACGCAATGTTTTATATAATAAGCGAAAGTCGAAGCAATAAAACCGATGGTCGTTTTGTTTACAGTTTTTCTGTTTGACTCTCACGTATGCTGTTACGCTTGTCATCTTAAATTAAGAATGTTTATACATAAACGATTTTCAGTTGCCCCTCATATTACTAGACAGCGGATTTCTGTCGGGCTACGTCACGATTATAGGGGG